ATGAAAGGGGTGAGATATGATATTATATGAGATGAAGTAGATAGAAAGACAAAAAAGTAGTTCCACAGAGTAAAAAGTATACAGAATAAAATAATAATAAGTAATAAGTTAGAAGCTCGTTCAATATGCATAGCAGTACCACCAAGATCTTCCCACGAATTCAGGTAATCCATGCAGAGTAACGGTGCCAAAGCAGCCTACGTCCTAGAAGTAATGGTTCAGCAGAAATCTCTATCAATTTCTTCGTATCGGGAGACATTGGCACAGGAAATAAGTACTTAACAGATGCTACCTATTTTTCCTCTTTACAACTTTACAACAGTGTCCGCTGGTATTGAGTGCTAACCAGAGCTTAATCATGGGCTGTTAGTGGCTACTCTGAATTTCTCCTCAATTTGTGAGCCCTTTTCTCGCCCACTCGGCCTTTTCCCCATCTCTATTGCTTTGTGACTCCGTTAAGATTTCCTGTACGCATTTCTAATCCATCTATGAAGATTGCAATTTATTCTTTGATTAGTCTATTTGCGAGGAACTTCGAAATAGCGACCAAGGTCGATTTCCGTAATCTGATAGACAAAGTGTTTTTGTTCAACGCCAACTTTATCTAAAATATGCATGTAGAGGTAGCCTGTTGGATGCCCTAGGCCTTAGAGCACCCTTAGCTGCAGAGCATTTTCAAGTCCGCACATGATATCGTCATGCAATAAAAACTTACATACAACGGGTTTAAGGCTAGAAACAAAAAGTATAGATAGTTTGCATCGACTTTCGCAAAGCGACACTGCAAAGCCGTAAATTTAGATTTCAAGTAATTTAAGGCAAGCCTTTCCAGTTTTATAAAATTCAGTTAATACAAAAAGGTTCGAGTAATAGCTTCTCAAAAACTTGGCTTAAATCCGTCTATGTAAATCATCCTAACGTGGTACTTATGTTTTGGACAACTTTTTATTAAACACTTATGTAGATATAATTTATTTTATAACTTCAAAAGGCCATTTGGGTGATACTTGGTTGCAACTGACACTCTTATTGGCTTTGAAAATTTTAACTGAAATATGCATTTTTTATGTCGCGAATTGTTTAAACCTTTTTAACGAAAAATTATAAACTATTTGATTTGTTTTCTTATGCATAGTTTTATGCTCACTTTTATTTACAAGTATCGCTAGCTTATTTTCTCTCCAACTTTACATATTATTCGGCATTTTTACTGCATGCGCCTAATACTTTTCCAAATTGTCCATGTAGTTTTAATTACATTTTTGCTCATAAAATCCTCTACTTACGCAGACTAGGCCACCATATCAGGTACAGTATTTCCATTTTCGTAATTTCATGCTTTCTCAAATAAAACCTTCCATTTTTTCTTTAACTGAATGGCTTTTTGAATTATCTGAGTAACTTNATTTGTTTTCTTATGCATAGTTTTATGCTCACTTTTATTTACAAGTATCGCTAGCTTATTTTCTCTCCAACTTTACATATTATTCGGCATTTTTACTGCATGCGCCTAATACTTTTCCAAATTGTCCATGTAGTTTTAATTACATTTTTGCTCATAAAATCCTCTACTTACGCAGACTAGGCCACCATATCAGGTACAGTATTTCCATTTTCGTAATTTCATGCTTTCTCAAATAAAACCTTCCATTTTTTCTTTAACTGAATGGCTTTTTGAATTATCTGAGTAACTTTTTTTTTTCAAATTCAAGTTTCTTCACATGTAACTAAGTAATTCCCTTTTCATGTGCTTCACACTTTCAGCTGAATATTCACCGTTTCAAGGTTATCGCCCGTTTCGGTCTCATGCATGTTGTCGCTACCAACATTTGCGTTTGGATACGCACGCTCGTCAAGGAATCATTGCTCGAAATCACCCTTCATCATCAACGTCGCGAACCCGATCCCGATGCCTCGTCCATTGCCCAGTCCATACGCCAACATGCATTACGACATGCTGGCACAGTTCTGCGCACACACGCCGGACCAAATGAGCAATTTGAGGTACTGGACGGCGAGGACTTACTTCCCGCCAATGCCTACAAAACCGACAATGTGCTCTCGAAATTGGTGCGCAAAACTGTTGATGGCATCTCCAAGTCGTTCGGCATGGGCGCTGCTGCAGGCGCCAATGCCAATGCAGCGCTCACCACGCTGCTCACATCCACCACCAGACCCACGACCATCACCACCACAACCACTACCCCTCGTCCTTATTTCACCACACCATCGTATCAGTGGCAAAGCACTACTATGGCACGCAAGTTGAAGAAGTTTATCACGAGCACAACAGCTGCCACGACCACAACGTTGGGCACCACGCCTGCCATACCATCAACTACAACGCTGGCGAGCAGCCCTTTAACAACAACCACCACCACAACAACCACGACCACTGAGGCACCCTTCAGACATCACTTTGAGCATTCGGCATTTACGACTGGTGCCCCAAGCGTTGCCACCGATTATCTTATGTCCACACACGGCGCTCTTATTGCCGACTCGCCATCTACTACTGCCGAGACTATGTCCTCTAGCATCGGTTCGAGTATTGGCTCGTTCTTTAATAGTTTAATATCGTCGACGCCTAGCACCACCGTTAGCACAACCACACCCTCCACTACCACTGAGAATGCTTTGAATGTGATGACCAACTTGCTTGGTCCCGGCATGAATAATTTCCAAACCTACTCGGGCATCTCCCACCCAGAGTCGACTGGCATAGTGAGTTTTGAAAATATCGAGAGCCTCGATAATATCTATCCCGCCGCATTGTCCTCCAACATTGGTACTTTGAATTCGACCGCTTGTGGACGTGTCGATATTATGGGCACAATTGTCTACGATTCGGCACCTTTCCTGTATCCCTTCATTATCGAATACTCACTGATTGGCGCTGTTGTCTTGTATGTGATGTGGAAGCATATCGGACGTTATCCGGGTCGTATGAACGACGAGGATTTGGAGCATCGTTTGGAAGTGATGTTATCACGTCGCGCTGTAGCAATGGCGCATCAGGCCCGTTCCGGACGTGTCGATTGCGTGGGCTCGTCGAAAGGGTTGTTCTTTGGTCTGTTGTTGCTGGTAGGTGCTTTGATTTGCCTGATACTCTTCTTCGTCTTGGTGCGTCATCAGCAGTTCTCGCTGCTAGCAATTTACCTTGCCGACGCAAGTCACTGTATACTCATGGCATTCGCTGTGCTCGCCATCATCATTGGTTTTATAAGGTAAGAGTGAACTACATATTTTTTATATACTTAGAAGGTAAAATAGTAAGCTAATGATTTTTTAATCTCACATCCACAGAGTTAAAAATTTGAAATTCCGCTGTGAAGAGCAATCCAATCTTAACGACATTCTACTACGCATTTCCGCTTTTGGTCTCTTCACCTACTCGGTATTTGGCGTTATTGCCGGCAGTTTAAAGGCGCTCGAAAGCGAACCAAATCTTCTAGTCATGACCACAAGCGCTGTAGCGGTATTCCAGGTGATCTTACAATTGCTCTTCATAGCCGATGTCTCGCGTCGTCGCGTTCACTTGCCCGAACATGATCGCAGCAAACCGGGCCGTCAGATTGTCACATTCCTATTGATCTGTAATGTGGCTATGTTTGCTATTTACACGTTTGAAGCTCAAAAAGTATTCGCCAATCCTGTAAGTAGATATGTACGTGAGCGATATATGAAGATATGTTTTACCAAAAAAAATCTGTTTTACGAAATTCAAAAACAAAACGCATAATTATATGAAAGAGTTAACTTTTGAAGGACATCCAGATGCCCTATGTGCTTTATGGTTTTGAAGAGTATGTGATTTTAAAGTAGTTGCATGATTTGCTTGCTTCTATTTCGTAGAGAAGTATGTACATGTATATTTAGAAATAAATGTATGTATGTTTCCTTACTCAGCTGTATTTTTAGTTTACAATTATAGTGGATTTTTACCATCGGCGCCACATTAATACTTTTCAATATTTTGCGAATAGTCGACGATTTTGTAGGGACGCTACCAAGTATCAGCCAGTTAATTGACCTTCAGCGAAAAATCGGCCAGACTAGAACGGCAGCGCGGATTTGGTCTTGGTACTCATGTTGGTGAAAATAAAGAACTTGTTTCCCTCTGGGTACCAGGCTATTCTTCTTAACGAGACAGCTGACCATTTGTATATAGAGGGCCCTGACTCGGTATTGCTTGGTCCGCAGTCAGTTTCAGCGCTCCAACCTTCAGTCATCGAAGCCACAACTTCGATCAGCAATGACTGCGAGGCATCGAGGGGCAGCAGGTGGACAAAACTCATGTCGCCTTCAATATCATAAGGTTTAGAGAGGTAATTAATTAATTGCTTTTGTTAAGCAGCAGGGACTGCCGACAGATTGTGGGGTGGGTGACTGGCCACTTCTCACGATACAAACACCAAACTGTGGTCGGCATATATGACAACCTCATTTGTTCTTCCTGCTTCGCCTTTGTCAGGATTGGGTATGCGGCTTTTTGTAGCGAAGTGTTGAGAAACGAACCCCTAAGCTCTTTAACAACCAACCATCTGCTAATATTTTTTCGTAGATCGTGTAAATTTACACATATTAAATAACAGTGAATACAAAAGTATACAGTATGCGCTTAGTTTTCTGAAAGGATATGTAAAAATTCGACGATAAAATGTTTGCTAAGGTTTACTTTACATCCTTGCGAATAATCGCTAGCCCTAGAAAAATGTTTTTTTTCCTGAGCACGAGTTTGCTGCTCCTGAAACAGAAAGGGTCATTTGCCTATTGCATTCGAAGGTTTTCACGCCTTTGAATACCTGCACCCCTTCTTGCGCAAGGGAAAGTTCCACTAGTCCAGAGCTTCCATTCTGGAAGTGAGACTTGGAATTTTTTGACAACTTATGTATGTAGTTTTATTTTACCATGATGTCAAAAAGCCCAAATCCTATCAGCCCTTTGAGTTGCATAACCAACAATTCTTCTACGTGCCGACATGCGCCATATGGCTTCACCAAGATTCTTTATGTACAACTTCTATGTTTTATTATTATACTAAAAGGGATGGCGAATAGAGACCCTTGCAAAACTTCCAGAAAAATGTGGTCCAGCGCACAACTTCTACCTGATCTGAGAAGGCAGGAGTGATGGCATGAAATGCAGCTAGACTGGTTGCCTGCTAAAACGACTATCTTTTGCAGAGTTTTTGTTCAAATGGGAATGTCACCAAGTGATTTTTTTAGAGAACGGAAATAACTGAAGGTTATAAGGGGTATTACAAAGAAACTAAAGTTCAAGTCAATGACGATCGGAGAGAGCTTTTACCGTGTGAATATCCATATAAAATGAATATAAAGTTTAAAAAGCGCTACGAGTTATGCCGTTTTGCTCACCACCGTTTCAAAAGCCACTAGTAAGTTTCATAGATCCTTACATATGCTGTGAAACTGGTCTGAGGATTAAGTAGTCTCATTGCATGAAAAGAGTCAGTCGACCTCAACGTTTTCAGAGCATGGTCTAGCGAGCTGTTTCTCTTTTTATGATTTGAGACTCCACTTTAATCATTACTTGAGCCAGTTTTATGCTTATTTATTACTGTTAAAGAAAATGGGATTGCGATTATTATTACGGCTTTTCTTAATGCTTTAAAAATGATTTTTTTTTTTTAATAACTTGGCAGGACTAGCTCATTAGTCACCTCGTTTTTTCTTTTTTAATAATTCAGTTGATCCAAAAAGTTACTTTAACAAACCAATATTCGACTGCATTTTCTTGTCATTTTGTTTTTTTTTGCTACGAAAATTATCCCACTTCTGAATTTATGCCAAAAGCATTAAGTACTTCAAATAACTTATATCCGCCTTAAACTTATCAAAATTGTTATCATAAAGAAAGTCGTTAAACCATTTTATAATTAATTTAGATACATGCATACCCTTAATTTACATTCATTATTCAATTTACGACTATTTACTACATACATTTTATCGAATAATAAAATTTTTGCATAATACGTACAAAATATGTATTTCGAAGCGTACAATTATTTTCAAAAGCTTTACACATACTTACACACATATAGTTACATACACATGTACAATATTTCTGTCGGCAAAATTTTAATAAAAAGAGGCCTTATGGGAGCTCCTAATTCTGATGTTTTCAAGCAAAAACCTTCCACCCTCAAACTTGTACTCCTTTCTCTATAATACTGCCAGAGTTTCCAGGCGTTCTGATTTAGCTTTCCTTAGAGGAGGAAAACTTACGTGTACGTAATAATATTGACACAATTCAAATTTACCTCTGCACCAGACATGCGCCGACCCGTCTTCTGTATTTTTCCCATTTTTTTTTAACTTTCGCCATTCGAAGATCTTCTATCACAGCTTCCCAAGAGAAGGGGGTTCTTGCAAACGGCCGTCCTGAAAGCTTTTATTTAGAAGCACTCCTTATTTTGCCGACTGAAACATTTTTAAAATAAACTTTCCTTACAACATTCCCATTTCTCATATCTTCATGTATTGCGTAATTTTTTGCACTCTCGGTGTTATGTAGATGTAGAGTAGGAAGTTTTTGAAATTTTGTACTAAAATATTTTCTTTTCTTTTTACATTATACCACTCTCCAAACATTTTCTCCTTGGTACGATCACATAGGTTCAACTAGACTTCTACGGCTTTGTGCCATGGTCAATAATTCAGCGCGTCACACTGCCACTTTGCATTTTCCACCGCTTCCACAGCGCTGTAACACTCGCCGAAATCTGGAAGACAACGTACAAGGCACGCTTGGAATAAGGAAACACGCTGGATCTAGAAAATATATTCATGAGGAGAGCTGATCAAAGTGTAATGAAAGAAATTGAGTAAACAGCAAAGAAACTGCCAAACTGCAAAAAGGTACCAAAAAGCAAGAAAATAATGGATCGGAGGAAAAAGATATTGGTAAACGTGAAATGCGGAAAAAAATTTCAAACGAACCAGATGAATTGTACGAAAAAATATAGAAGAGAAACAGCGTAAAATAGTTAAAATTTAATACAGAAAAAAGCAAGCAAAAATATGTATGTAATAACAGGAATAGCCGTGCGAAGAAGCTAGGCAGCAGCAGTGTAGGGTCAAAAAAGGACTTGAGGTCAAGCAATTTGAACCATTAATAAAAAGGTTACTCGCATACGCAACCATACACAGCCACAAATACACCATAAACATGCAACAGCTATGCAATGCTAAGCAACATGAACATGAACTTACACTCAGAAAAATGCATAATACATAGTAAAAAGAAAGGAAAAAAAAACAATTCAAGGCAAATCAAATTATACATTGTAGCCACATCTGCGCATCTGCATTAGGGCAGAGCAGACAAAAAAAGAGTTGTATATTTAAGTCTAGTGTTAAGATTTTACTTATTAATTACTTATTACAAGGAGAAAAAAAAGAAATAAATTAAACATAACATTTATTAATTATGAAAAAAATATACAGTTAAGAGAGTACAATTTGTAGATTTTCAAGAGTGTGTAAAACTAATTTTTACGAATAAGTCACCGAAATATTTTATTTATTATATTCTTAACAGACCGGAAGACAACAATTTAATACCAAACAATTGAAAAAATAGATATTTTACAAAGAATTTTGTTAACAGGTGGAGTGTAAAAGTGGAAAATAATAATAATTTTTATTTGTTTTCGAGGCTACTGTAGATTTTACAGCAGCAAATGCGATATTCTTATTTGCTAAGTCATATTTTTAAAATAAGCTGTAGAAAATTCTTGCAGCCATTTCTACAAGAGCGAGATAAAAAAAGTGTATTCGTATGGCCGCAAAGCGACAATTTTTTTAGTACTTAAATAGTGATGATTTGATATTTGCAAGCGTTTGATTTAATGTAAGCGAAAGTACAGGAAGCGTAAGGCGTATATGAAGAAAAGAAGCCGCAAATTTAAAAAATTAAATGTAATTAGTTTTTTTTTTGTTTTTGGTTCTCAACTTGTTCTGGATATTGTTTTTTTTTATAAATGATATTTTTAAATTTGGATTTTGTAATTTAAATTTATTTTAATTTTTATTATCTCGTGCAAAAAAAAATTATTTATATAAAAACAAATTTTTTGAAATAAAAATGCAAATCAATATTTATTTTACGTATTATTTACATACAATAAAATGAGCTAAGATCTATATATCTAACCCTCAAATAAGAAAACAAGTGAATAAATGTTAATATTAAGTAAATTAAAACTAAAGTTATATAAACACACATATTAATATGAGGAAACGTAAAGAAATACAAAACCAAAAATAATAAATAAAATAAAAATTGTTGTTTATTTACTTTCTATGCAGTTGCTGCACAAAGATATTTTCCATATCTAATGCAACTGAGATTAGCGGAACTAGCTAAGAAAAAAAAAACAAGAGCAAAAAATTTATATAGAGAAATACTGAACGGGCTTGGAGTATAAATTTTACTATACATCTAAATAAGCGTATTATCAGCATTATTTGTAAACAAGCAAAAAAGGGTAAGAAATATTTAATTTTAAAAAATATTAATTAATTATAAATGAAAGATATTTGTATAAACACATTGAAGTACAGAAATCAGAAATCACAGCATATTCATACCAATTTTGACAGAACACTGGGAAAGAAAAAATATCACGGATTAACTGATTTAACAGAGCAGAAACGAAAAACTCAAGAAAAGGGCATGAAAGGCGTATCATTGTTGATATTAGTACATTAACACTCATCGCAAAATCACCCAATGCCAGAGCGTAGTGCAATCCAGCAAAATTTGCGAATGCATTTTTTACAGTGTAAGTGCTCATGACCTCCTCGCCTGTTCTTTTCCGGTCGTATACAGGCCACATGAATTTGGCTTTACAGCATCCTGATGTTATGACCCGATTTCTAAATATTGCGCGAAAAAATGAGACCAATGTGGTAAACTCCCAATCGAACTCATCAGCCGGCAGATTTCTCGGTAGTATTGCATACAAAAAACTACTTCGAACTGATTATTAAAGAGAGTTTTGCACTTATAAATCTTCTCCGATTTTGTTGTAAAAGGCTTAAAAGCCAGAATGGTCGTCCATATGACAAAAGAATGGCAACGCGCTCGAACCGACGACGACCTTATAAAATACATACGCTGCCTGGCAAACATTCAAAAATTCAGTCGAATGGATTGATCGTCTTAAACGCGGGGATTTAGAGGAAACTATAACACCCAGCTCGATTTTGGAACCAAAGGTGCACGGATTATGTATCCACTCATAGGTATCAAATTCTATTTGCGACGGAAGAATTGCACTAAAGAGCCTGTGGAATTATGTTTCAAGTCTGGGTCGCTTTCTTATCTTTGCCAACAAATACGAGAGCGATGAACATTATGTGGAGGTCTATAGAAAACAAGTTTGTAATAAAATTAAGGGCATCTTTATGACAAGTTCTCAATGGCCCTGTAGTGTTGGCATCTCACCAGATCTGGAGAGAACCACAACGTTAGATCAAACGTAACGCTGTTGTATACAGCCAAAGTACGACCTTTGGACCTAGTGCCCCACGTTATCCCGAAAAGCGTATCTATGTATATGTACTCTCCAACTTTCCTAATTCAACGCTCTAAAGTTTATTCCTGGAACTATAGACCATTTGTTAAATTTTTTTCGGATTTAACTAAAAAAACCACACTGCTTAGCCTGGCTTTCCATGAGCTCCTTCTTTGATGTTACTCACCACAGATAAAAATAGCTCGGCTACTGAAATTATCACAACATCGGCAAAGGGCACCATTTTCACTCCCCTCTGGTGGATGAGTTGATAGTGGCAAGGCATAGAAGTGGCACTCCACCTTAGGACGTGCCCATGCTGACGTTCGTCGTTAGTGTGCAGCTTTCCAATTCTGTGAAAATCGTTTTGATGCGCAGCATCGCTATTATCTGTGAGCTGATATATTTCTCGGCGTCAAGCTCGTCTAAACATTTGATCAAGAACTATACGTAGGCTCGGAGGGCTTCTTCAAGAAATGAGAATAATGCAAACTGGCATGCTTTCTTAGAGTATTATATATCATAAATTCTGAAACCTTCTTAATTCGTGATTTCCGAGTGTGGCACTAGTTAGCAGTCCCTTTCTGCGGTTATATGGCTAATAGATAAGAATCCAAAACAAGCAGTAGTATTGCATGAAAAAAGTGATCTAAACCAAGTACTGGGAATAACATTGAATTCTTATTGATATTTATAGGACCTCTCAGTGCAAATGATCTGCCTCTTGGTAGCTTATCACGTCGTATCAACCGCACGTCATCGATGAAAGTCCTGTAAAATGATCCCAAAAATTCTTTCATTTTCATTAATTCGGTAAGGGATCTCGAGCACGAGTAAATGACTACCAAAACAACCCAACATCAACACATCGCGTACGCAACTGAAGTACACATGAACAACACGACATCATCATCACATCAACATCAACATCAACACATCACCATCACAACAGCAATATCACATCACTGCAA